ATACTAAGCAAAATTGAAATTTATTTTTTTCTGAGAAGTATGCATAAAAGATTCATTTTGAAATTAAAACTTACATGCATATATAGGTCACTTATCCTGAAGGAAGGCATGAGAGAAATAAAGATGTTAAATTATGTTTTCCTTATTCGTTGAAGCTTCAGGAATGTCAGAAGATGGTGATTCTTAAGTGCTCCCTTAAGCTTACTCTTCTTGTGGTTTTGTGAGGTGTGTAGTTTTTGCAGAATAAAGAAAATTTGAGCGAAAGTGAACACTAAGTGGCAAGGCTTTTCTCCAGTCTCTTTGCGTGTGCATCTTCCTACTGAGTAAGGTGTTTTTTTTTTCCTTCCTTTCTAGATGAGTATTTCAAAAAGGACTATGTATACACTGTATGTTTGTATATAGTCATATATATTATATACATATATATACCCACACTCATATGTATATAAACATTTTAGTGTCTAAGTACAATACAGCAAATGGGTTGAAAATGGAATTAGGCCTCTTCAAGTTGGGTATATATATGGTTGCTAAATTTCAATATTCAGCACCTGGTTTCTGATAATATTCTACAGAATGGCTGAGGTTGGAAGGGGCCTCTAGAGGTCATCTGGACCAACCCCCCTGCTCCAGCATGGACACCCAGAGCACGTGGCACAGGGTGGCATCCAGGCAGGTTTGGAAGATCTCCAGAGAAGGAGACTCCACAACTCCTCTGGGCAGCCTGTTCCAGGGCCCTGTCACCCACCCAGGAAAGAAGTTCTTCCTCACACGGAGATGGAACTTCCTGTGTTTCAACTTGCACTTGATACCCCTTGTCCTGTCACTGGCAACCACCAGGAATTCTTTACATTCTCCCCTCACGTATTTGTACGTGTTGATAAGATCCCCTCTCAATCTTCCCCAGACTAAAGAGGCCCGGCTCACTTAGTCACACGATAGATGCTCCAGTCCCTTAATCATCTTCATGGCCCTACACTGGACCCTCTCTATAAGCTCCACGTCCCTCTTGTACTGGGGAGCCCAGAACTGCACCCAACACTCCAGGTGCGGCCTCACCAGAGCTGAGCAGAGGGGCAGGA